CAGCCCAGCACCCTGATCAAAGGGCCCCTGCGGGAGTGGGAACCTCTCTGAGTGTGGCGAGTTCCCTGCACCGAGATACCATGCATTAGCAGGTGCCCGCTCACCCCAGGTTAACATCTCCCCAGCTGTGCGGTCTCCCGACACGCTTCCCTCCCTGCCAGGCACCCCCATCTTTACCACCGAGTGTACTGCAGGAATTCAGGCACAGGGATGCCCAAAGCAACACGAGCCCACCGGCTGCACAAACAGCAGACTCCCAGCCCCACCTGGGCTCCATGGGGATAGTAGGTGTCTTCACCTTTCAAGTATCTAAGGCAATCTGCTTCTTCAGCTGGAGGATATAGAGAAAAATAAAAGGTCCAAAACTTCGTTCAGTGAGGAATTCCTCCAGGGACCTGACTCTAGTGTCTACAACCAGTTGTGCTGGCCGCTCCTACCCCCAGACTTTGGGTGAGGTGGATTATTGATCAGCACAATCGCCGGTGGCCCAGCTCCTGGGCTTGGCTGCCCAGAGGGGACTGGGGAAATGGGTAAGGCCAGGGCACTCAGGAAGAACACAGAGGCCCTGCCCTCACACCTCTGCACTTGTAAACCGTTCCCCAAATTTCAAGGCATCAGACAGAATGCAGCCACAACAATAATGAGATGCTCCCATCTCTTCACTCACTCTTATCGGTTCACTTACGTGCTGAGCATCCACTGGGTCACAGGACATGACACACAGGATGGCCGATGGGACAGGCTTGGTCCTTCCCCCTGGACCCGGTTCAATATGATGGAAGAATGATCACTCATAAACGGTTTCTCAAAAGGATACATAGACAGAAGACAATCTGCAGAGTGAATCAAATTTTAAAATATAAATGAAGATCCCCCAGTCTCCCCGCCTAAGGTTAACAGCATAATGATAATATATCTTGCCTTTGATCACCAAGGAAGTGGTCACCCCCTCTCAGGAGGAAAGGAGAATTATTCTTTGAGTAGGACACAGAAGTGTTCCATCGGATTGGACTAGGACCTCTGCATTCATTCAGCAAATCTTTATAAGCTCCTACTACATATGGGAATCTAGTAACTAGACCCATTCCCAAGGTTCTTGGGCTTTATTAGTCAACAAAATAGACACGACTCCCCATCACTGGGGGCTCAGAGTTTTAGCAGAGGAAACAGGCAGCATATTGGGGGTAGCAAGAGCTTGGGGAAAAATAAGAGTGATATGAGCAAACTCAGGTGATGGTGATGGGGTGGGAGGAAGGCAGGAAGGAATAAGGCAATTCTGACACATCTCAAGGAGTAATGAACTTGAAGCAGAATAGATCCAGAGGAAGAAGGAAGAGGCGGAGCCAGAGGCCCCAGAGTGAGGGGGAGAGTGGGCAGAGAGACAGAGCACACCAGGTACTGGAAGACTTTGGGACGAATTTGGCTCCTAATGGAATGGTGACCCTTTTAGTGAGTCTTGATGGGATGGGTGATGTCCAATTTATGCGTTTGTTTTGGTTTTTTGGGGG